AAAAAAAAAAAAACATCTGTTCACGTGCCTGTGTAACCCCTTCTGTAAGTTCTCTGCTCATGTCTTGGACTCGTTTCTGTATGGAGTCTCTACTTCTTAATGTGAGTCGTTTCTTATTTACTCTAGACAGTATTCCCTGGTCAATTTTAGTCAATGCATCAGCTCCTTTCCCAAATTTCCATCTGCCTGTTCATGTATCCTGGATATCCTTTGTTGAACAAAATCCTTGGGGAAGTTTTTATGTCTATTTTTTTCCCAAGGAGTTAACATTTATGTACTAAGAATGGAATTTGGGGTACCTGAGTGCCTCAGTTGGGTCAGTGTCCAACTTCAGCTCAGGTCATGGTCTCACAGTTCGTGAGTTTGAGCCCTATATTGGGCTCCTGCTGTCAGCACAGAGACTGCTTCTGTCAGCCCAGAACCCGACATGGGGCTCAAACTCACAAACCGCGAGATCATGACCTGAGCCGCAGTCAGAAGCATAACCGACTGAGCCACCCAGGTGCCCCAGTCCATCCATGTTTTGTAAATGGCAAGATTTCAGTCGTTTTTATGGTTGAGCAATATTCCATTGTACATACGAACCACATCTTCTTTATCAAGCAATTGGACTGCTTCTATAATTTGGATACTGTATGTAATGCTGCTATTAACATTGGGGTGCCTATTTGCATTTTAACTGGTATTTTAATGTTCTTTGGGTAAATACCTAGTAGTGAAAATGCTGGATATAGGGTAGATCTATTTTTAACTTTCTGAGGAATGTCCACACTGGTTTCCAGAGAGCTACCCAGTTTGCATTCCCAGCAAAGGGCAAGAGGGTTGCCTTTTCTCCACTTCACCTTAACATTTGTGTTTGAGATTTGGTTGAGAAGTCCTTCTTCACTCTTACATAGCAAAGTTATTCTCCTGAATCCTTCTCCTATTAATGTTATATTTCATTTTATGTGTGAAGTCCATCTAGATTACATGGGGACTTAGGCAAGAATTCAGATTTACACTCTTCCTAAAATGACCAGTTTTCCCACCACAAATCAGTAAACCATCCTTCCCTTTTTTCATTTGGTTTGTGCTCCCAGTTTTGAATCACGCAGGGATATTTTCTTAGGTATCCAATCTGGACATCACACACATCACCTCTGCCTGCCCCAGGGTCTCGCTTTAAAAAATGATGCTGTATCAATAGAAGAATGGATAGCTGTGGGGCACCTGGGTGGCTCAGTCGGTTAAGCATCTGACTTCGGCTCAGGTCACGATTTCATGGTTTGTGAGTCTGAGCCCTGCCCTGTGTGACAGCTCAGAACCTAGAGCCTGCTACAGACTCTGTGTCTCCCTCTCTCTCTCTGCCCCTCCCCTGCTTGCACTCTGTCTCTCAAAAATAAATAAACATAAAAAAAAAAGAAGAAGAATGGCTAGTTGGAAAAAATAAAATAAAAAAACAAATGATTCTGATTTGGTAGTGAGTCTCAACGCCATGAGGGACATCTCTCTGTCTCTTTTGTGTGCTTCATTGTTAGAAGACCTGTACAGTTTTTCACTGACTTTATTTTTCAGAAGTAGGCTTATGATAGTTCTTAAATTTAACTTCTCTAATTGTAAATGCAGCTGCACTGAGCATAATTTGGGGAGGAACCAACATAACTGCTATATTAGCTCATCCAATCTAAGAGTACACATGGATTTACAGCTTTCCATGTAGCCAGACCATCTTCTACCTATCTATCCATGGTTACAGTTTCTGTCCTTGGAAGTATTGCATGTGTTTGGTTAATTTCTAGATAGTAAAAAAAATTTTTTTGATGTTTATTTTTGAGAGAGACAGAGTGTGAGTGAGGGAGGGGCAGAGAGAGAGGGAGACACAGAATCCGAAACAGGCTCCAGGCTCTGAGCTGCCAGCACAGAGCCCAACATGGGGCTTGAACTCACAAGCCGTGAGATCATGACCTGAGCTGAAGTTGGACGTTTAACCAACTGAGCCACCTGGGCGCCCCAGGAGAGAGAGTCCTAAGTCCGCTCCACGCTCAGCACAGAGCCCGATGCGGGGCTCGAACCCACGAACCGTGAGATCATGACCTGAGCCGAAGTCGGACACTCAACCGCCTGAGCCACCCAGGCGCCCGGGTTGATGATTGCACTTTTAAATGGGTTAAGAATTCAATATTTTCAAAGAATCTCAGTTTAAATTACTAATATAGTAAGAATGGAGAGTTCTAACTCACTCAAACAAAAGCTTTCAAAGGGACTCAATAGTTTTTTTTAACATAAAGAAATACTGCAACCAAATGGGGGCACCTGGGTGGCTCAGTTGGCTAAGGGTCTGACTTTGGCTCAGGTCGCGATCTCATGGTTTGGTTCCTGAGTTCAAGCCTCACATCTGGCTCTATGCTGTCAGCACAGAGCCCACTGTGGATCCTCTGTCTCCCTCTCTCTCTCTGCCCCTTCCCCCCTGGGCACACTCTCTCTTTCAAAAATAAATGAAACTTACAAAAAGAAAAGAAATACTGCAACCAACATGTTTGACAACTGTCTCCTTATAGTTTGTGTCACTATTGGGAATGTTACCTTGCTTTTTCCTTGAATTCTGTCTTTCACATGATTACTATGAGTGCAATTCTATGGGAGATGCTATGAGTTTGGGAAGTTGATCTGTCTTCCACAGCATGTGTTCTGTCCTTGATCAAAGATTTTCTGCCTTCATTCTTGCACCTTTCTAGGTAGATGACCACGTCTCTTTGCTTCCAATCCTGGTATTCCTTCTTTCTTTAACAATCCTCAAGCACCTCTCCTGGCTTTCAGTCCCCTGCTAATGAACAGCCGAGACAGTGAGTAACCTTGGCTTGTTTCTGATTCTAAAATAGTCTATTTAGGGGTGCCCGGGTGGCTCAGTCAGTTAAGCGTCCAACTTCAGCTTAGGTCATGATCTCACAGTTCTGTGAGTTCCAGCCCTGTATCTGGCTCTGTGCTGACAGCTCAGAGCCTGGAGCCTGCTTCAGATTCTGTGTCTCCATCTCTCTCTCTCTCTCTGCCCCTTCCCTGCTCACACTCTGTCTCTCTCTATCTTTCAAAAAATGAATAAATGTTAAAAAAATTTTATAAAATAATGCATCTATCTGTCTCCCACTTCTTGTACTATTTCCTAGTTTGTGGCATGTATTCTTAGTTAACTAAGAAAGTCTCAGTTGATTTGATGTTGACAAAGCTTTAAAAAAATCTTCAAGATATATAAACATATCATCATTATGCTGTGTATTAAAATAATATAATGTATGTCAGTTATAAATCAATTTTAAAAACCATATAGGAATTGAACTTTAGCAATCCAGGATAGCTTTCTAGATTGATATAATTATATGACATTTCCTCTTTAACTTATTCATGTGACTAACTATATGATAGGTTTATTCTGAATCATCCTTGTCATTCATGGGATAAATTACGCACCCTCATTCCCTTTCTGATCTCA